GTGGGTCTCTGATGTAATACATACATCTAAAACATCAAGCGTGAAATGTCATCGGCATTGCTGTGACCCAGTGAAGTCACCAAGAATGACTTTGTCTACCCAGCCAACCAGTAGCCCCTGGGAACCATTAGCCATTCTTAACTCGACTTGTGTCTAATATCTCATCATCTATTAGATGTAGTGTCCACTCTGTAGCTAACTGTGATTGACAGAGGAGTGGCAATGACTCAGAATAAGACGTATCTCACCAGCCTTACATAGAGAGTGTGGACAGAACGAATCCAGATAAAATGGTGACTGACCTGCTTTTTGCTTGCACTTCCCGTATATCTCCACCCAGATTTGTCACTCCCCACACCTAAAATCCTATCTCCTTCCTTAACAGATAAGAATGCAGCCTACCCAGTTTGAATATGAGGGACACAACTGCCATTGATTCTGGCCAAGTACCAGCTTCAAGTTGGGTTACACCTGGATTCACATTATCACCTTGTATAAAATTGCACAGTTTTACCAGATCTAGCACCCAAAAAATAACTTTAAACTCCAGATAGAAAAGTTCAGACATTTCTACATCAACTTAGACAATAGGCGAGCCACTAGTGGGGATAATGTGGCTACTTGTTCCTCACACCAGTTCTGTCTGGAACAGCCGTGATGATACAAAGGAAGCTGAGTTGAAGCTTCTGGAAAAAGTTCAAAGAAGAGACAACAGATCACTGTCTACTAAAGGCTATTGTCTGGGTAGGAAACAGCATGGTGACAATCTCTTTGGGACACGAAGTCATCAGTCATAACCTATCTGTACTGAACCAAATTTTTTCCTAAGCTTTACTTTTATTGTTTTCAGATATGTATCTGTGTGTTAGAGTGTGCATGTGGATGCAGGTGCCTATGGAGACCAGGGGTGTGGGATTCTTCTAATGAGTTAGTTACAGGCAGTTGTGAGATACCCAATAGGAAACCAAGCTTAGAGCAGTATGTGCTCTTAACCATTCTGCCATCTTTCTAGCTGCAGACCAAACTTCTGTTAGGTTCCTCTGAGCCCCACCCTAGCCTCAGTCTTGGGCTTCTATTTCAATCCCTGTAGAATCCAGTTTTCGCCAGACTTAATATCTGATCACTTTTGATATCTGACCAAATGTCTCCCCTTCCCGCAGGTAATATCCTATCACTCTTACCAGCCTTCACATATAATCCCATCAGACCAGCCTGGCAAAGAACTCCTTCACCTCACAGAAAGTTTCTACCCACCAATCCCAAGACCCCGCACCTTGATCGCAAATCCCCACTTTTCCTTGGTAAATTCAGCATTGAGTCCTCCTCTACATGAGGTCTTTTCCCTCTGAAGACAGTTTCTGATTAGGGTCTGTCTTCATTTCTTTCATCTCTGATTTTCTGTGTCACCAGCCTTCACAAGGAACCAGTAGTGAGAACTGCAATATGGGGAAATAAAGGAGAACTGGAGACTCGGTGGCCTTTCTAAGCTCCAATTGAACTGTGACTGTCAAGGGCTTTCCGTTTGAGGGAACAGGTTGTCCAATGTGTGTTAGCACAGTTACCATCTGTGATTGTTGAGTGTGGGTTTCATTTGATGAATAAAGCATCATTTCACTTACTTTAATATTATAGCCCCCTTCCTGACCCCAGTCTTTTCCCAAACTAAGAACTGTCTCTACAGATAGGATAAATTCAAAAGAAAACAAGACAGCCTGTATTGTTAGCAGTCCAGGACTTGGATTGACACCTCTGTGGTAAACTGCCACTGATCTTGGCCAGCAATGTGCTGGAGAAGATGCCCCTCCCACCCATCAGAATAGCACAGAGACCTTGAAGACTGTGTTAAATGCCTTACCTTTGCAGATCATTTTTAACTTGCTATAGTACTTTCAAATCCATTAGCTAATTGCAATCTTCAAAACAGTGTGCTAAGGTAGACATTACCCTCATTTCACAAATGACAAGTGCAGAGTGCATGGAGAAGGTGAAAACAGTTACTTAAAATAACTCGACTCATTGCACTATGAATCCTTGGTAGCCAGGATTTGCTTTGCCAGAAGAGAAAGTCCACTGATGACCCTGTTGCAAATGTACAATGCTCAGGCTTTTCCTAGAGCTTGAAGGGCCAAAGTCAGGCAGTGCTCAACTATACCCCCAAATTCACATTTACTGCTTAGCCTCAGCTGCAACCAGTTTCTCTTCCAGCCCTTAAACATAGCCTTATTTCTCAGTGCTTTTCTCCTATTCAGTGAAAACATGATCAAGAACAGAAATCATGTGGAGATTTTTGGCATAGAAGCCAAATGGTACTGGATGGGATGTACAGGAAGTAATGCACTACATGTTGAGATATGTCTGGGGACTGCAGCTTCAGCACCAATCAAACCAAAGAAAAATGGTACACCCTAGCTGGAATTGACTTTTTTTCCTCAGTTCTGCAACTTTATTTGACATTCAGCAGGTTAGTTCTCACCCACATTGGCTATATGTAAATTCCTGGTAGAGTTTGTTTAATGAGTCCTCATCCTTACTGAGTTTTCTGGACTAATGTATATGGATATTATATGGAGCATTCCTTGTCCTTTGGTTTTGTAAGCCGCCTTGCCTGGATTTGACTTTTGAGTAGAATTCAAAATAAGAATAAATATTTGGGCTGAGAGTGTATCTCAGTGGTAGTGTTCAAGGGCCTGGAGAGAGACAGAGAGAGACAGAGAGAGAGAGAGAGAGAGAGAGAGAGAGAGAGAGAGAGAGAGAGAGAGAGAGAGACTGTAAAAGAAGCGGGAGATGAATTGGTCTCAATCTTAGAATGTTTAAAAACTAAGATCAAAAGACTAGCCAATGTTAGATGCTTGTTGTTAACCTCATCTTTTTTTAAAGGTATAAAGATGTAATTCCAACTTAAATAAAGGAAACCCATGAAACTGATGGTCATCATTGTCAAACGACCACTAGTTACCAGCATAGAAACATAGGTTTTATGTACACTGGGTAAAAGGAATAAAATTTGAGGGACATGCTGCTTTGCATTCACCTTTATTGGCCTAATGCATTTCTCAGATTTGGTAGAGACAAATATTTTGATATTTAAGCACAATTTGTCAGTATTCATAATAATGACTTACAATATTATAAGAAATATTTCTTTCCATGTTCAATTTTATAATTATTGTCCCTGAACTTTTTATTAGACATTATTTCTGTTGGAGTTTCTTTCTTTCCTGATCCCACAGCCAATTAGCCCCAAATAAGCAACACAGAGACATATTAATTATAAACTGTTTGGCCAATGATTCAGGCTTCTTATTGGCTGGCTCTCTCTTAATTATTAACCCATTTCTATTAATCTAAGTATTTCCACGTGGTCTTATCTTACTGGAGAAGGGTATGAACCTGTTGCTCCTTCCTTGGCTACATGGCATCTCCCTTGGCTACTTTTCTCTGGCTCCTCTACTCAGCATTCTCCTCATCTGGTAGCCCCACCTACGCTTCCTTCCTGGCTACTGGCCAGTGTTTTATTCATCAACCAATAAGAGAAACATAATATACAGAAGGACATCCCCCATCGCATTTATATGGTATGCTATGGAGAAAGATTGATTAAGACATTATATGTTTGTAAACAAGATGATAGGGGGGAAAACATTAAAAATTCTCAGCACTCCTGGTTGTGATGGTCTGCATCATTGCATTGTGGTGAAGAGGTGGAGGGGCAGGAGGGTCATGAGTTCAAGGCCAGACATCGGGCATCAGTAATACAACCCAGAGGGACAAGGGTCTTGACACCAAGTCTGACAACCTGAGTTCAGTCCCTGGGGCCCACATAGGTAGAAAGAGAGAAATGACTTCAGCAAGTTGTCCTTTAAACTACTCTACACATGTGTCCTGGCATGCATGCATGTGCATACACACAATAATAACAATAATAATAATAATAATAATAATAATAATGAATAAAAAATAATTGTCAGCACATAAACTGAATAAGAAATTTCAGTGAAAAGACATGAAGCATGCTAGGTGTGGTGCCACAACCCTTTGATCCTAGCACCCTGGAGGTAGATGCTAGCAGATTTCTTGAGTTTGAGTCCAGTCTTGTCTACATAGTGAGATGAAGATCAGCCAGGGCTACACAGTAAGACTGTCTCTCTCAAACAAAAACAGAGAGAGAGATATCATTAAGATAAAAGATTAATCAATAGATGACATTGAGATAAAAGACAAAGCATTTGCCACCTAATAAAATTTACCTGTAACCTTTGTAAGTTTTATTTGTGTGGATGGATGTGTTGTGGGTAAGTAAAATGCATAGTAATTTCCATGTAGTAAATCCCTTCCTATAGAAATTAATAGTTTAATATTTTATCAGAATATAAGTAAAATAGATGAGCTAAAATCTCTAATTTCTATAATTTTATTAGCATGAAGTCTATTTGAAAATATGTAAGAGGCATGCATAAGAGTGTTCCCACCCTAAATTTTAAAAAAGCAACTCTGCAGAAAATTATAATTAGTACCCTGAAAGAAACAAAGTAAGAGTAGAAGGCCATGGAACAGTAAATCAGAGGATGTGCAGAAAAGAGGTTTTCAGCCGTTACACTAAGTTTCACAATTTCTCTAAGACACTAGGAAAACACACCTGGGTAAAACAGAATGTATTTCAGATGGCTAGAGAAAAACAAGGAGTGGGAATTCTAAAAGCTATAACAAGGGAAACATCCTCAAACCGGAAGAATGTAAATCTCTGAAGAAAGAGAACCCACATAACAAATGAAGAAAGCTGCATAAAGGCTGGTCACTGAGAACTTCCACAATACCAAGTTGAAGACTGTGGCTGCTATCCAATGATGCCATGAAATAGTTCAGTGATGTCTCCAGATTGTGAGAGACAATTGTTTTCTTTTTTTTCTGGTTATCACAGGTCTTTCATTGAAATATCTTCTCTCGTTGCTTCTTAACTAGCTGGGCATTCCACTACGCCACTGTTGATGTCATCAATGATGTCATGAGGGTGGAGGCCCACAGACTGCAGTACCCGGGATCTCTTTAATAGTTCCAGAAAGTTCTCTGGCTAAAGACCGGTGTCGCATCTGCGGGGCAATGCTGACAATCTCATTGAAAGTGATATTTCCACTGTGTTTAATGTTCTTCTGCTTCTTTCTGTCTCTTGGTGGCTCCTTGGGGACTTTAGTGATCAAGGGCACCACCTCAGTCTGGGCCTGTCTGCTTTGTCTAGTCAGTTTCACTGTGATCCTCAGGCCTTTCCAGTCACTGGTCACCTTGACAATGTTATCAACAACTTTCTTTAGAGACAGACCCAGGGGACCAATCTTGGGGACCAAGGTGGATGTGGCACCAACTAAACCTCCAGTGCACCTCAAGTACTCAACTTTAATCTCGTTGGGGTCGAACTTGGGCAGCATGATGGGGGTTGCTGGTGGGTGTCGGATGAACCCGGATTTGGGATGACCGAAGAAAGTTGCACCGTAGCCTCCTCCAAGCTAAAAGTCGAAAAGGAGAGACGATTGTTTTCTACCTAATGATATGCCTAGTCCACCTACCTGCTTGGACTCAACATAATTTAATAAACTAAAGCTATTTCAAACATGAAAGAATTCCAAGACTCGCATCCCAGAACATTCTTCACGTAAGACAAACTGTAGGTCAAAGGTTTTGTCTGGGTTGGTGTCCCAATCCCTCCACTTGAGGCCATGCCCGGTTAGAGAAGATGGCTGGTACAGGCTCCTTGTCCCCCATTACTAGGAGTCTATGCTAGGGTTACTCTCATAAATTCCATGAAGTTTCCATCGCACTGGATTTCCACCTCCTCCCTGAAATGCCCCCAATATACCAGTCATTTCTCCTGGTATTTTCTTCCTCCCTTCCCCCACCTAATCCCTCCTGTCCACCCACACCCCCTCCATTCAAAATCTATCCTATTTCCCCTTCACAGTGAGATTCATGTGTTCCCCCCAGCCCCCACCTTGTAACTTAGTTTCTCTGGCTCTGGGTCGGTAGCATGATTATCTTTTACTTTACAGCTAATATCCACTTATAAGTGAGTTGCATACCACATTTGTCTTCTCTGTCTGGGTTACCCAACTCAGGTTGATTTTTTTCCAGTTTTATCCATGTGCTTGTAAATTTCATTGTTTTTAACCTCTGAGTAATAACTCCAGTGTGCAAATGCTCTAGCCATTTTCTCTAGCAACTCTTTGGTTGAGGTGCATCTAAGTTGCTTTCGGTTTCTGACTGTCATGAATAAAGCTGCTATGGACACAGTTGAACAAGTGCCCTTGTGGCAGAATAAAGCATCCTTTGGGTATATGCTCAGGAGTGGAACAGCTGAGTGTTGAGGTAAATTGATTCACAATTTTCTGAGAAACTGCCATATTGATTTCCAAAACAGCTGTACAAATTTGCACTCCCACCAGCAATGGAGGAGTGTTCCTCTTCTCCACATCATAGCTAGCATGAGCTGTCACTTGCGTTTTTTTATCTTACCCATTCTGACAGGGGTAAGATGGAATTTCAGAGTTGTTTGGATTTGCATTTCCCTGATGGCTAAGGATGTTGAACATTTAAGTGTTTCTTGGTCAATTGAAGTTGTTCTGTTGAGAGTTCTGTTTAGATCTGTACTCTGTTTTTAATTGCATTACCTAGTTTGTTGATGTCTATCTAATTACTTCAGCTCTTTGTATATTTTAGATATCTGCCCTCTGTCAGATGTGGAGTTGGTGACACTCTTTTCCTATTCTGTGGGCTTCCTTTTTGTGCTATTGACAGCAAAGCGTTCTGGGACCAGAGCCTAGCAGAATCCTCATCAAAGAGACCAGAGAGACTTCATCCGGCAACCATTGGAAGCAGATGCAGAGGCCTACAGTCAAACATTGGGTGGCACTTAGAAATTCCTGAAGAGGAAAAGGAAAAAGTATAAGAGGAACCAAAGAGATCGGAAACACCAATAGAACATGGCCCATGGAATCAACTGGTCAGAACTCATGGGGGCTTGCAGAGATCAGAGAGCCTGTGGGAGTCTCACCCAGGTCTTCTGTATATATGTTATGGCTGAGTAGCTTGATGTTCTTGTGGGACTCCCAATAGAGGGAGCGGGGCAGTCTCTGACTCTTTTGCCTGTTTGGGTGATCCTTTTCCTCCTAGTGGGCTGCCTTGACCAACCTTGATGAGATGGTATGTGCCTGGTCTTATTGTACCTTGTTTTCATGTTTGGTTGATTTCCCTAGAAGGCCTGCTCTTTTCTGAGAGGAGGCAGAGAAGGAGTGGATCTGGGGAACAGAAAGGGGAACCAGAAAGAATGGAGGGAGGGGAAACTTCGGTCAGTATGTAATGTATGTGAAAACGATATAATAAATAAATAAGGGCTGGAGAGATGGCTCAGAGGCTAAGAGCACTGACTGCTCTTCCGGAGGTCCTGATTTCAATCCCCAGCAACCATATGGTGGCTCATAACCATCTGCAATGAGATCTGGTGCCTTCTTCTGGCCTGAGGTCTTACATGGAGGCAGAATGTTACATATAAAATAAATAAATAAACAAATGAAAGAATTTGAAGATGTTTTATTGATCACACAGTTTTCTTCTCTTTTGTTAGTTTTTTTTTATTTTGGTTCTTGTTTTTGTTTTGTCGGTCGGTTCTGTGGGTAAAACTGCTTGCTGGTTACTTGTGCGCTCATGTCAGGCAGCTCTAACAATTTTCTAGGAAGCTGCTGGAAAACATACTTCAGCAACAGGGTAGAAAGAAGAAATAATGGGCACTAAAAAGCAAGAAAAGAAGCATCCATGGCTAGGTAACAGTCGGAACACACATGATCCAGACTGAAGCGAGGGAAAGGGCACATTCAAGAGGGAGAGTCAGCACAGATGTGTAACCTGTCATTATACTTAGAACCGTGTTTTACTGTCTTTTAAAGCGCAACAAATGTCTGACCAAAACAATAACAATGAGAACATAGAGTTAAAAGATGTTTATAAAGCACGATTAGCTTCAGAAAAAAACAAAAGATTTTACAAGAAAGGAACTACTTGCTACGTCAGTCAAAAATGGTTTATTAAGACTGCAATTTCATAACTTTGGCTTGTACAGTAACTAACCATCATTAAATATCTATTTTGAGAGTGTAAGGGGCAGAAGAGAAAGTATAGAAATGCCTAGAACCTTAACTGCTAATATAATATCAAACCTTGATGAATTAAGTTTAACAGTATTTTGAAGGGTCAGACACAGATAATTATATTGTAAAATTTTGAGTTCACTTTAGGGACATTGGTAAGAAAGTTAACATGTATTATCTTGATTAATGATAGAATTTAGTGTCCGATAAAATGGCTCAGCAGGCCTCCAAACCTGACAACCTGAGTTTGGTTCCTGGGATACACATGACGGAAGTGGGAAACTAACTCCCACAAATTGCCCCTGACTTCACATGCACGTTATAGAACATGTACATAAAACACACACACACACACTTCAATAAAAATAAATAGAACTTAATTCTCTTTAGAAAACAAAACAAAATAAGGACAATGGTGTGGTGATGTGTGACTGTAACCCTGGCTACTCAGAAGGCTGGGAGGAGGACCACTTGTGTGCAAGACTTCAAGACCAACCAGAGGAACATAATACTAAGAGAGACTGACTTCAAAATAAAGTAAGGATAAAAATTCAAAGTGAGTAAATTGTGAAATGACTACAGCTTGGTGGTATACTGAGAGGGGCAAAATCTAATCTCAGCCTTCCAAATTCTAAAGGCTATGTCTCTCTGCTTTGGTTTCCTTATTTGAAATCTGAGCTAAAAATTGCTTTCAACTTTACACTCATATGCTCGGATCTGTGCAGCTTCAGCGAGGCTATCCCTTCTGCCTTCCTTTCGATGATTCATTAATGATTCATAAAAAATACCAAATGAGAAACTGTCTCCAGTACCTTAAACAGCCAAAAGCATTCTTCTGTGACCCAGAGACCTTCCGTGCCCCTGAGCTCCAAGACAGGAAGTGTCACCAGGTAGCAAAAGGAACGGGGCCTTCTAAAGAGATCTTAATTGACTTACTAAGTTATGGAGATTTTAGGCAACAATTTACCCTGTTCTTAAATTTTAAAAGAAGTTGCCATAGCAACTCCTAGACACAGCATATGGTATGTCTGGTACCTCCAAGATAACTGAACAGATTCTCGAATTTTCCTTACAATATGTTGTGAACTTTTGTACATTTTGTGTTTCAGTGGGCAATGTTATAAGATTCTGGATTTCACTGTGACATCTATATATTTAAAAGCTGGTTTTGAAACATTTATCACTTACAAAAACAAACAAGCAAGATTTTAGTGTGTCCTCCTGTCCTGTAATATATTTTCTTTATTAGAAGCAAGCAAACAAACAAACCTAAAACCTAAGTAGGAAAAATAACAAATAATCAGGTAGTCTTAAAAAGAGCAAATGAAATGAAAAACAAGTCATATGGAAAATATCCTGCTCATTTATAGGGAAAAGAAGAAAAAAGTAAAGCCAGATGTCATTTTTCAACTTAATCAGATTTGTAAAATGTTGCAGAGTAGGAGGAGTTTAAATTTGTATTGACATCCCAACCATTCATAAGACCTACTCATCTTTCTGCTGCAAGTTTGTTCTAAAGAACTCTTGGATAGACATGGATTTAGATGAGTTTTTCTGCTGGAGAATTGCATGTGATAGAGAGAATTTTGAAATAATATCACTGAGTGTGGTGTAGCACACCTGTCATCCCAGCACTAGGGATCATGAGACAGCAAGAGCGTGAGTTTGAGGCCAGCCTAGGCTATACAATGAAGGCCTGTCTCAAAAGCTAAAAAGATAAATCAGAAGTAATCTTGATCAATAGTAAGAAATCATGTAAAATTAAAAGATATATAAGCAATCTCCTATGACTGGGCTTGATGTCGAATGCCATGTTTTTCTGTTGGGATTATTATTATTTGTTATGGCATATTTTATTAGAAATTGTGACAGTGATGTTATAGCATATATGCATATATATACACTAAACATGTACTATATATCATACAGATGCATGTGCTTTGTGTATATATGTTAATGTTTAATTACTAGTCAATGTTTAAAAATAGAGTCTCAAACAATTTTGACAAAGAAATTTAAATCCATTAATATTGTATTTGTAATACATTCTTTGTATACAACCATCTAGAACACCATGGAAGATTACTACCCTCGTGTGTACGCTAAAGTGATGATTCATGCATTTGTATGATCCCTGACTTCTAATGAAGGCAGAACTCCTTACTTGATTCTGACCAATAAATATGGCAAGGGGAAGGAATGCAATGTCACTCTCATGATTATCATACATTATATAAGAATGCATTAGTAAACTGGAGAGAGAAAGATTATCCTGAAAGCTTTGAAACTTC